ATCCTCACATTGAATCGATATCTTAATATATTGTCCCAGCCCTAGCAGTTACCCCTACGTTTACCTCTGATTTTGGAGCACGATGAATCTCTTCTAGAAGTTGTTTCTTTTCTTCCTGAAGCTGACAAACCTCACTCTGCAGTTTTTGTATGCGACTATCATCTGATTTCTCCTTACTGAGCCCCAAACAAGTAAACATCTGCATCTACATATAAGGTAAATAAGATTTTATTGTTAAGAATATGATATTGCAGGAAAAAGAAAATTGACCTGTGTTTTAATAAATTAGAAAATAATATAATTTGATCTAAATTCTGATATGGAGGGAGTTAACTCTTTTTAACTTGAAGTCTGGAACTGAATATGATGATGCATTCCAGGAAAGTGGAATTATGAATGCCGATGGTATTTTTTTGTTTTATTGAGTCAAGGGAACGTTTCATTAACTTAAAGATAAGTTTAATACCACTTTTCTTCTTCCCATCCCCCCAACTCTCAAGGCATGTTAATGACAATATTTTGCTCGCAAATATTAGACAGCAAATTAAAATTATATTCTGACTAATTGTACTCATCTTGTAAATCAATTAAGCAAGCCATCAAGGTTTATGAAAAAATATATCAAACTAGGTCCAGTAGAAAATAAATTAAATGATTAGAGGGAAATGTTTTCCATAATACTGTACATGTACTACAGAGTTGCAAATAACAATTAAAACCTTACAGGCCATGTTGGCCCCCAACTTTACAAGTTTAATAGTCCACATTGATATTTTGGGGCCCATAATTTTCTCTCCACTTTGTAAAAAAAAATTCTCAATCTTTTTGTGTTTTAATCTCTGAGAAGTGTACTTTGCAGTCCACGATCTTTCATTTCCCTGATGATTTTGACACCATGAATGAATGAAATTGCATGAAATTTTGTTTTCCTTTATTTTGAGGCCTCAGAAAGTTATAATGTTAAGGAGATTCAAGGTCTAGAAAACATTTTGTTGGTAGGAAAAGTGATAATGAAAGTGCAATTAATTGTAGAATCAATGCATGGTCAGGTCCTGGAAAAGTTCTGATGAAATTCTTACTCGCCATGTGGCAGATTACATCTTCAAGAGTTGGTTGCCCACGAACTAAATCACTAGCATTTGCTAGTAGACGAGTGGTTATTTGCAACCCAGTAATAGGCTTACCTTTAATTTATGTATTTGTTGATTCAACTGCTGATTGGAAAGTTGATATTTCTTTACTAATTTTTCAGCTTTTACCCTTCTATCTTCAACCTAAAATTACAAATGAAATTATGCTAATAATTACATGTATGTAAACAAATCTTACTTTTTAAAAATGCAGTAATTTACTTCCATTCATATAGTATACAGAATGTAGTACCTCAGAAAATAGAGAATTTCCTTTGCAAGATTGGGTCTGAGATTCCATTTGTAAAACATCAATCTGTGCATTCAACTCCATAATTTCTGTCCGACATTTCTGAAAGATGTGGGGAAAAAAAGATTTATACTTGTTCAGTTTTTCTATTACATGTACATGTAGTTTCAAAACTTTGATCTTATCAGAGCAATTAGATAATTAAATGGATATGGTTACAATACCATGACCTGACTTACCTCAATTGTGTTGACATATGTAGTAATCTGACACTGTAGTTCCTCCATTTCTTGTTCCTTGTTAATCATTTTTTGTTTCAGATTCTCTAGTTCTATTATTGCACTTTGACAATCATGTTTCATTTCAATGAGGTCACCCTTTAGCTGTGTCTAGAAAAATCATTCATTACATCTGTACTTTATATTGGTAAATATCTACTACTTTAATACCTTATTTAAGTACCGTAATTATATCTAATGCAATGTATATCTAATGTAATGGACATGTTATAATGGATTTCAGATTTAACATAGCTACAGTAAATGACTCTCCCTCAAGTTTTTTCCCCTAAATTTTAGCTTTACTGAACAGTATAAGCATGGTAAGTACTTTAATTTACAATTTTTTTTTCTTCTTCAAAATATGATCTACATAAAAACACATTGTCACTTACCAGGTACTAACATAAATGTTATGTGTAAGTAAGTTCTTACATTTTCATTCTGTAGAGAGCATAGTTCATTCATCAGCTGTGTGTTATCTTCTGTCATAATAGAGTGAGACAATGTCTCATTAATTGTCTTATTGCTCTCTACTAACTTCTCAAGAGACTGAATCTGAGATTTCAAATTGTTCTCCGAAGATTTATGTTGATCAATATCTTCTTCCAAGGTCCCTATCTACAATGAAAACCACAGTTAGTTAATTTAAAAATATAGCTCACAAAAAAAAAATGAAAAAAAATGGCATCCATTACAAATATACCATTAAAATAGATCTACTGTAAATTGAAATTTTATATGTTGAGTTAATTTACACAAAACTTGCAATAAGAAAGATTTCACATAAATATTCCACCTCTGCATATTTAATAACATATATGTTTTATTCAGTTTGAACAATGCATAACTCTGGTACCTTATCACAGAAATAATCCATGCACATATTGAGCTTGTTACTATTAAACTCATGTAATTAACAATAAATTTCCACACTTTACAGTAATATTTAAAAATAAACTTGATACATTTAAAATTAATCCTATAGACATTAATTTTGTATGAATATAAAGGTTTAACAAGCAGACTTCATTTGTGACTTTTGACAAGATGACTTCAAAATTCAAATTATCTTGACATAAAAAAATCACCTTTCTTTGTAATCTAACCACTTCTTCTTTAAGGGCATCTTGTATGTCTAGATCTTGTTTCCTCATTGTCTGAAGTTGTGCAATTTCCTCATGGTACCATGCCTCCTGGCTTGCAGCTGATGATAACTTATTTTTCAAGGAATAGACTTCTTGTCGCAACTCCTGAAAAGTTACAAAACAATAATAAATATGTAATAAAAGGATTGAATTGTACGAAAATATATACATGTAATACCATGATTAAAAAGAGCTAAGACTGTAGGCAGTCTTATTGCTGTAAATGACCAGTTGTTGATGTACATCACATATGTTCCAACAGGTCTAGGAAAATCACTATATTTAGCTATATAGCTAAATCTACCTATATAGCTTTATTTACCTATATAATATAGCTTTATTTAGCTATTTCAGAGTAAATTTCTGTTTTATGAAAAGCAGACAAAAAGTCGCATAATGAGGCAGTATTAGTTTTCAACTTTGAAATGGACTGAAAACAATTCACCAAAAACCCACTTTTAAAAATGTTTCTCCTTTTGTGCAATTGCAGTCAGAGATCTAAAAGTTTTGGGGCTATGTATAACAGTTAATCTGTGAATAAGCAGCTACTTTAACAAAGAAAAGCAGTTTTGGTCAACAAGATAATTGATTGGTAATAATTCAGCACAATGCAAGGCAATCACACTTAGTCATGCCTCATCGCACTTCCAGTAATGAACAGCTATCCAAACAATAGAGATGCATTTTTTGGTTAAGAAGTGTTTAAAAGAGGCAATGTTTTTACTATCTATGCCCTACGTTGTTTTTATCAAACCTTTTTAAAAAAATATCAGCCATAATTTTCATGCGACTTTTTGTTTGCTTTTCATAAAACAGAAACTTATTCTAAAATAGCTAAATAAAGCTATATTATATAGGTAAATAAATTTTCCTGGACCTGTCCAAGACTAATTCAAACATTTTCTTAGACCTAAATTTCAAAGATTTATTGTCATCGTCTACAAATATAAAGTTAAAAACAGAGATGAATGATGATATTTTACATGTCTCTGATAGTGATTTAACGTTACACCAGAAGGTGGGATGCGAATTAATGGAAGAAGAACGTTACTCAGTTTTTACCAGGTCCAGGAAAATCACTATATTTAGCTATATAGCTTAATTTACCTATATAGCTTTATTTACCTATATAATATAGCTTTATTTAGCTATTTTAGAATAAGTTTCTGTTTTATGAAAAGCAAACAAAAAGTCGCATGAAAATTATGGCTGATATTTTTTTAAAAAGGTTTGATAAAAACAACGTAGGGCATAGATAGTAAAAACATTGCCTCTTTTAAACACTTTTTAACCAAAAAATGCATCTCTATTGTTTGGATAGCTGTCCATTACTGGAAGTGCAATGAGGCATGACTAAGTGTGATTGCCTTGCATTGTGCTGAATTATTACCAATCAATTATCTTGTTGACCAAAACTGCTTTTCTTTGTTAAAGTAGCTGCTTATTCACAGATTAACTGTTATACATAGCCCCAAAACTTTTAGATCTCTGACTGCAATTGCACAAAAGGAGAAACATTTTTAAAAGTGGGTTTTTGGTGAATTGTTTTCAGTCCATTTCAAAGTTGAAAACTAATACTGCCTCATTATGCGACTTTTTGTCTGCTTTTCATAAAACAGAAATTTACTCTGAAATAGCTAAATAAAGCTATATTATATAGGTAAATAAAGCTATATAGGTAGATTTAGCTATATAGCTAAATATAGTGATTTTCCTAGACCTGTTTACTTCTAAATCAATGTACTTAACAGCTGCTTAACGTATTGTATTATTTCGAATGGTTTGGGACAATTTATCCATGGACCGAATGTGGTCAAACTCAAATAAGAAACTTAAAAGAAACTTCCTACCTCTGTTTCATCCATGGTTTAGTAAAGAGTTGGAACTTAGTAACTACCTAGATATTTATTTAACTTTCAACTTCAAGTTCAAATCAGGCGCCTGATTTACAATTATGTGTCTTTCGAGCCCGATTCTGTAGTCCCATTCACCATATTAACTGATTAATGTCTGACTTTCCAGCATTTCAAACTGAGCAACATGGTAAATAAGCAGATAAGTGACAAATTCAATTTTTACGCTGCTTACCGATCTTATTATGAACATAAAAGCTTTTCGTCAGTATGATATGTCACATTCTACTTTTCCTTTCAGTTTCAAAGTGAAAGTTACTGTATCGCGTTTGCAGTGAACTGAAAAGACTCCAACAGGTGAATGGTATGATCAGAGGGGTCACACGGCGATTTTTCATTCGTGTATCTTATGACGGTACAAAATACAGGTGACTGTGAACGCAGACATCCAAGTCTTTTAATTAGTACAATGTTTATAATAAAAGCACGTGTTCACCAGTGTAGAACAATCAATATTAGGTTAAAGGGTTAACCCACTAGCCCAAGCTAGTAGGATGCCATGTATCTTACTCTACCACATGTTGTTGACCATAATTGGCCTCCTTTTATAAATTCATTGCAGAAGTAACTGTATCAATTGCTTTATATGGCCCCAAAACGTTTAGAACTTTGAGTACAAAGTCTCTTAAGGAGACGCAATTTGATGAGTGATTTTTACATGCATTATTTTCAGAAGAGTTCAAGGTTGAAAATTATCACTGCATCAAGGTACGACTTTTTGTGCATGCTGAGAAAATAACACATTTTAAAAATAGTGTGATAAAATAGCTAAATCAAGCTATTCTGAATAGCTTAATAAAGCTATATTAGCTAAATCAAGCTATATAGCTAAATCAAGAATAATGTTACAAAGTGTTGAAAGATAGGAGAACATGTATGGCTGGACCAGAAATCAAACCCGGGGCCACTGCATCACTAGTCAGGTGCTCAACCGCATGAGCTACCCAGGCCGACATCCACGGTCAAGACCATTACATTTCTCTTTCATTAAATTGTTTTTGCCCTCGAAGACACAACCTAAGTTTTTATTGCCCCTGACAGGACTTACCCCTGCAAGTCCAGGGGTGGTCATGGCAGCAAATTATGAAACAGGAAAAGAGAAAATGTATGGCTGGACTGGGAATCGAACTTGGGACCCCTGCATCACTAGTCAGGTCAGGGGTTTTTGGAAAACCCACTAGCCCAGGGCTACTGATCAGTAAATATTTACTAGTCCAATCTCAAATTAATTAGCCCAACACTTTTCATGCAAAATGAAAACATGAAAATCTAAAGTATCGAATGCTTTGGTGACAGAAACAAATTAAATTACTTCACAGTCAAAAGAAAACCAGTTTACATATAGAAAAGCTACGGTAAACTGACGTTGAGAATTTTTTTCTGTTCTGCTAGTCTGACGGACTATCGTTACATTTGAATTAGCTAGCCCAAGTCTTTAAATAACTAGCCCCAGGCGCCTGGCTACCGTATATTTCAACCCCTGCAGGATGTGCGCTATCAACTGAGCTACCCAGGCTAATATCCACAACCCAAACCATAACAGATATAATTGAAAAGTGATAAATAAATACTTGTGTTTTTTTGTTTTATATCTAGTACATACAATTATATAATTAGAGTCATATAAATATAGATTATTCTAACTAATATGCATGTTTTTATATACACGTGTTATTGTTATTTCAGAGGGGTGTCTTTGAATCAAAATGTGAAAACAGTAGAGTCAGCGATGTCTGTAAGTTAAAAAAAAAAATTCAAGCATTTTTAGATGTCAGTTGATCATGAAGAAATATAATCAGAGACATAATAATGTATGTTATTGAATTTATAAATAACTATGAGCTACATACAAGTTAAGTATGTTTCATTATCAGGATTATAGTGATGATGTTGACTTCATGTCATACTTCCACGTGTTCCAGGTCATAGGTAAACTGCACTTTGTCATGGGCATATTATACATTTATTGCATGGTCGTGAGGGAAATATGAAGATTTATTCAGCCAAGAAAAATCATATTCCCCGAGGGCTCTGCCCGAGGGGAATATGATATTTCTTGGCTGAATAAATCTTCATGTTTCCCAAACATTCATGCAATAAATTGTTTATTAAACAGAAACAAGCAAAAACTTTAAAAATAAGCATAAACTTTCACATTCGGCACCGCTCTTAAATTCACTCTCAATTTTGACGTAATGTTACAGAAGTTGTGACGTGAACCAGGCTATTGTGACGTCTACTTCTCTCAGGAGTTTTCGTTCAACAAACGATAACTATTTCGGGAAAATACACTAAGTCTCCGAAGAGGTTGAATATGATGAAAAGCATGATGATGACAGGGAAATATGAAGTTTTATGGCCCTGCCACATGATAATCTAGAACCAATCAGATAACGCGTTGTATAGAATAATTATAATGAGGTATAATAAAACAGTTTACAAACATATACCTAAAAAAGTTGTTTTCAAATGTAGATTTCTAAGTTGATCACAGTTTCCCTCTAGAAATAAATTGTTTAATGTCTTTTACAGAAATTTCTTGTGCAACTATATGGGAATAATTTTAATCTAAAACCAACAAGCCGCACTGATGCAGGTGTTCATGGAGTATCCAATATCATGAAATTAATTGTCTATGATAAGTAAGTTCCAATTAATGTGTGTTTTCTTTGACTTATTATAAGTCCGGCAGATGACGGAAACAAGTTTTTTTTTTTTTTTTTTTTGAAAATTTTAAATTATTAAATTTTATTATTTTGGGTTATATGTCTTTGATTGATGTTTGGGTCTAAAAATTATCACATATGATTTCCACTGAACTCATCTTTAACAGCTTGTATATATATAAAAAAAAAAAAGATATGCACCATGTTTGGTCGAATTGTGTAATAAAATTAATTGATTGAAGGACATGGTTCTTGATTCTGTTAAAGGCCGGTTGATTATCAAACACCATAATGAATGGAGCAAGAAATATCCAGTACTGATATTGTGATGATGATCGTACGGATAAACCAAAAAATCATTAAATGTTTTGCGGTACCATCAATCTCTGAATCTTTGTTTAATAAGTGCAGTTTTTTGTTTTATTGTTTTACATTTGTAGAAAAGCTGTTATAGATGTCAAACAACTGGCATACTCTTTGAATTATCATTTACAAAAACATGATGAAGAAATCAGGTGAGTTGTTTTTATTTTGCAAAGTACATCATTCATTCAAGGGTGATATTGCAAATTCACACTGGTACACATTTTAATTCATGCATAAATAGTTTATTTTTTATGCAAATTACCACCTTCTCCCCCTTTCCAAAAAAAATATTAATTTTAAAACTAACCCCCCCCCCCCTCCCACACACACACTTTGGAATATAACTTTACTCAATCTTGTGTATTTGTGATATATAAATGTAAAACATGTTTATAAAAGTCAATAATTGTTATTGTTTTCTAAGAAATTTTGAATTGTTAGTCAAAATTTTATAACAATTAAATGATAAAACTGAACTGTATGATTTACTGTCAGTTGATAATTATAAGACATGTTTGTTCTAGATTAATCTTTCAACTTGCACTATGTTCCCTATGAAAAGGTTGTTCATTGCTCTAAAAATGTCATCCCTTCAAAATAAATATGACAGATTAATATTTCAGTATTTGAAATAAGGAATTTTTTCAGATCCAGAGATTAATTCAAAGATTCTTGAAATTTATTTCAATTTGCAGTGTACAAAACATACAGGAAATACCATTCTACAGATATGGTGGAGAGTTTATAAAACAACGGGTATATGTGTATCGTCTGGCTGTTTTTAAGGAATTACAGGTTCCAGTCTCGCAGGGAAACACAATAGACAGTATAAAATGTAGTGCTCTCCCAAGGCAGGGGACGGGAGTTATATTTCACAACAAAACATGCACAACATTAAGGTAAACATACCATAAACCTATATACCATGCGTGTAAATTTTCGAATTTTAATACAGGTAACTCTTGATGGCTCGAACTTCGATCTCTCGAAGTTCTTGATCGCTCGAAGTGAGTCTCCGGTCCCGAATTTTTCCACTATATAACTAAGCAAATTTACTCTTGATTTCTCGAACTCTTGATCTCTCGAAACCCTTGATCCCTCGAAGTCAAAATGCAGTCCCGCTATGCATATTCTATTAGAATTTACCCTCGATACCTCGAAGTGGCTATGTGTATACAAGATTATATAATTAGCACCTTTACCTGGACATTTAAATGGCCCCAGGCAGAAGACGCGGGTCTCGAGGAACAGGATGTTTATTCAGGTGACACTTATGCTGCAAGGTGATAATTGATTTATAATGAATCATATTTTGCCTATATGCTATTAAAAAAATTATCATCGACTGTCTTACGATAATTTAGAGACGCAGTGTCATTGAAAAGTAGTAATTTATTAAAAGACAAAACACTAATTTAATTTTTATTTCGAGTCAGTGTCAAAGTTAAACGAAATATGAAAAAAGCAGAAACAGCCTCAATGTCAATATGACGACTATTATTGGACAAATACTTACAGAACTTCGTTCAATGATCATGTTTGGAATAGTTAATGCTATGTACGACGCTGTAAAATGTCGTTTTCATGTAACGAATGCGTAGTATGATATCCGTATTACAAAGAATAAATAGATATACATGATATGACGATATACATTTTTGCTTTACTCAGTTTAATGAAATATTCATCTGAATTACGAAAAAATATCGTTGTTTTATAAAAACCACGTGTAAAAGGTTAGCACTGCATGAAAATCATTATATCCGGTAAGACTAATTTTAAAACCTGTCAACAAACCCGGAAAATTCCGGACTCTTGAAAACTCGAACTCTTGATCTCTCGAAGTTTTTCCTCGGTCCCGCGGACTTCGAGGTTTCGAGAGTTACCTGTATATGGAAAAATGAAACTCTTAAACTTACTTTTCAAAATGTACAATTTATGTCCTTAGCATTTTCAAAGTAAAGATGCCAACAAAAATGAGAAAGGCAATTAAGATTTTCAAAGAGTTTTTGAATGAATCTCAAAAAGTATCTGAATAGTGGGAATACTGGCCCTCAGTGTATTATAGCCTTGTAATTAATATATAGTAGTAAACATGAAAGGATTTATCCTTTGAATTGAGAGTATAAGAGTCTGATCCAATCTCTTTCCTCTCTCTCTCTCTCTTTAAAGGGAGACAAGACTATCAAAAACTCACAAGCTTTTCATTCCAATTATCTCTCAAGTAATTTGTATTTCTTTTTAATTTTTTTTATAGTCCTCCATTCTGTGTTGATAAATTGATTGAAAGTGCAGAAATACTGTCTGGTGTTAACAACATTTACAACTGTACACCGGGGATGGGACACAGAGAAATGGAGAAGAAAACACATGGCAATAAATCGTACATAAGAGACGTCCAGATAGAGGTGGGACGTGGACACCCTATGCTGCTTGGACTCCATCCTCAGTTAGCACAGCAACTGGAATTCTGGGAAATTCAGTTTAAGTCCCATTCCTATATTTATAAACAGGTTTGAAAAATCTTGTTTGAAGGAATTATTAGTTAGCAATCAAACGAATGGCTAAAAACTTTCATTAAACAAGCAAATTTAATCAATTTAATCCCAGTCCACTTAAAAGACTTATTGGAAACAAAAAAAGCCCCCATATATTTTCCTACTTTTAAATGTGGAGGAATGATACATGTCTTGCTATGATATGCACTCCATAGAAGTCTATTTCTCCCAGTCTGTATTAAAAAAAGTTAAAGAGCATGCTAATGTGTAATAAGCAATCACCTCTCTAAAAACTGTGATTACATGTACTTACTAATTAAAACAGTTTTTATTTTAATTTATTCAGCATTTTTCATTGCAGAAATAAACCCATGCAATGTTTCTGCTTCTGATATGTGTGACAAATATATTTAAATATCCACATATGCAGGATGATAAACTTTTACTTCAAAGATCTTGTAGCAGTGTATAATTAGATTGTTCTTCATTGCTGTAAGAAAACTAAATTATAAAAATTAATCCAAGTTTTAATACCCGGTAGCAATCCCAATACATGTACTGAACTTAACCAAGAAACACTACAGCTTTATAACTGTTATCACAATTAAGTTGGAAAAAATGGCCAATATGTGAAGAGACCCATTCTAAAGTTAATCTATTGACAGATTCGTCGCATGGTGGGACTTATGGTTGGGTATGCACAAGGAGAATACAGCCTAGAGCTTCTGAGGAGGATTATGTCTGGCCAGATACTATCATCAGAAGATAACACAGCGTTTTATAGAGCAGCAGACACCCACACAATGATGCCTCAGGGACTATTCCTACAGGACATTGAATGTGATGATGAAAGTAAGGGAAAGTACAGCCATCCTAGAGAAAAGTTAAATGTAAGATTGATGTTAATTGTATTGATCTTGAATTTTATTTTTTAACTTTGTAGGGATGCTAGAAGAATGTTCTGTGGACAATCCATATATCCAGCTTTTAGCCAATATAAGTATTCTCAAGGACATTTTGTTTGAATGCAGTTCTAATGATAACCCTTCTACACTTCAAGAATTGTCAAAAATCTCCCAGTTAAAGTCAGAAGTACAGGAATACGATAAAGAATCATTGAAGCAGAGCCATCTGTGTAAAAGAAGGAACTTTACCAGTGGTGTTTTGATTCAGACAAAACTGGGTGTAGTCAAAGCACATATTAGGTAATGTAAGTTGGACTAGAAAGATTGAGTGAAATTTTTTAAAAGAATTATTTATGAAATTTTGATTATGTTATACTGTCATCATTATCATGTCATAATAAAAATCTGATATACTACTTAGTAATAAAAAAATTAAGAAAGAACTAGGATTATCTGTTGACTTTTGTTTGTTTGTTTAATATCACTTCAAGAATCTTTCACTCATATTGAGACGCCACCACTTGCTGGTGGAGGGCTGCAAATTTAGACCTGTACTTGGCACTTACGGTCTTTGAGCAGTGAGGTATCTTTTTCGGACCAGCACCTACTCCAACAAGGGACCTCAGATTATACAGTCTCATCTGGAGGACTGTGGCCCTTTTCTAAATATTTACATTTCCAATGTCTTTGTCCAAGATAAAATTTCAAATAGTAAAAATACTTTATTTCTACATAAATCTACTGGTTCATCGATAGGCGTGGTGAAAAAAAATCACGTGCGGGGCGGGACAAATAGAGACAGAAGCGGGGCTTGTAGCACGTGAATTTGCAGAATCAAGAGCATGTAAATATAAGGAATATCTGTCAGATTTTTTGGTTTCATGATGATGATGAATTGATTGGCTTGTGTGATAATTTTATGCATAAACGCCTTCGGTGTTTATGCAAATTCTCACGCAAGCCAGTCGATTGATCACATCATGAAACCAAAAAATTAGATAGTTATTCCTTAAATAAATCTTACGACTAAGGTTATAATAAAAGGCTGCTCAACTGTCCACTTATTTTCATAAAAATAAATTTCAATTTATTTTTTCGAAATTAGTGTAGAATTCAAGATAAATATGTTAAATTTTGTTATTTATATTTCAAAAGTTATTATGAAACCAATTCATGCACTGATACATATTGGTTGAAGCTATTCAACCATGTCATAATTTCTGACCTTGAACTTTCGTATGTCATGACCTCACTATTACTTATTTGCGTTTAGCACAGTTAATAAAAAAATCATCCACTGATTTATGATGATGGGAACTATTCAATCTGTCATAATTTTGTAACCTTGACCTCCCTATGATCTTAATCCCAGAATTTATCATTTTGCATTCTTCTTAGTTGAAGAAATTATATTGTTATCAAACTTCATAAAAGATTTAATTGATAGAACATATTCAACTGTGAAATGAATTTCTGATCTTGACCTTTTTATGACCTTGTCCCCACTACAGTGCAGGAAAATTATTTTGAAGCAGTATCGATGCTGATTTTTAAAAATCCTTTGCTTGCTGATTTGTATGCTTCCTTTGCTTGCTGATTTTTAAAATGCTAAAAAAACAGCTAGGGAACTAATTTTGATGTATAATCAGCATCAGCATGAGCCAAAAAAAAAAGCATTAGCATCTATCTGTCATCAGCATTTAAAAAAAGGAACAGCATCAGCGAGCAAAGGGTAGAACAAGCATAACTAGCATTGACCTACCGGTACTTAAAATTAGCATTGATCAACTATAGCATCAGAATATTGACAACTTCTTTTCTCAGTAAAATAAAATGAAAGCAAATAAAGATATTTTTTTAATGATTTTAAATATCAACATAAAAAATAATCATAAAATTATTAAATAACGCATATTTAATGTGTAATGCTGAAATTCAATGATGCTACTTCCGGTAGTATTGACCTAATTTTTAAACAGCAAAGGTAGCATCAGGTTAAGGCTAACTAGCATTTAATCAGCAAGCAAAGGAAGATACAAATCAGCAAGCAAGGGATTTGAAAAATTCAGCTCCCTGCACTCTACTTATCCTGATGCTGCCTTTTCTGTTCAATGCAACCGGATGTACAGATAACTGAATTTCAACATTGCAGTTTAAAGCATAGACCTGAAGCTTTAGGTCTATGTTTAAAGCAATGAAAATGCTTTATACAATCAATTATTCATTATATTTTATTAAATATTTTAATATATAAGTCGGTTTTCTTTCTCCGTTTTCAATTTCCTACTGAAAAAAAGCTCATTGATTTTTTTAATTCTGAAAGTTCAATGCTGATTGTAAGTAGGTCAATGCTTGTTATGCTAGCTCTCTCCTTTGCTTATGGCAATGCTGTTTTTGAATGCTGATTCTGATGCTAGCTGAATGCTGATGCTTATTTTGTTAACACGCTGATGCTGATTTGTGTAACAATATTAGTTTCTTGCACTGAATTCTCCATTAGTTTCAAAGAAATAGTTGTTCGAGGTATTTTCATCAACTTACACAAAAATACAATTAATTGTTAGCTATTACCGTCACGGTAGCTCAGTCGGTAGAGCATGCGCTCCGTGATCGGAGGCCGTATGTTCGAACCCCGTCCGCGACTGACCTAAGTCGATAAAAAAATGGTACCTACTGTTCCCTTGCTAAGCGCTCGGCACTTTAATTTGAAGTGAAAGTTGCAAGTCCTTCTGATGAGGCCTTAAAAACCAAAGCCCCGTGTCACGGCAGGGGTTGGCACGATAAAGATCCCTCACTGCTCAATGGCCCTGGGTGCCGAGTAAAGGTCTAAATTTGAAGCCCTTCATCGGTGTGTGGTACGTCTCTATATGAGTGAAAAATTCTTGAATGGGACGTAAAACAACATACAATCAATCAATCAATTGATAGCTATTAAACTGTTTCATAATTTTCAGATCTTGACCTTCCGTTCGTATGGTCCTGACCCCACTATTCTTATGGTCAGACGACAAATTCCTCAAGGATAAATTTATGCATTTATCTTCGTTTTAAACAAACTGTTCAATATATCTCAAAAAATTGTTCAGAGTTATCCAACGGTGTCAAAATGTTTTGACCTTGACCTCTCCTATGACACTGACCTCACTATTACTTATATTTCACAGTTTAAAAGAAAGCCTTCGATCGTATTACTTTAATTAATACTTTTACATATTAATATGGTGGGTACTATTCTACTGTATCATAATTTTTTGACCTCACTTTTTGACAGTTTGCACTTATCTTAGTGTTACAGTATTAGATTTATTAATTTATTTTAAATTTATTTTACTTACAGTGGAGTACCCTGTAAAGTCTAAGGCATTGTCTGAGGAGGCAGTAGGTTTGAACATTGTAACTGGTGATGACCAGGTAAGTGCTGAAACGATTGATGAGCCAGGGGAAGCGGATAGTGTAGCATCTGATGAGCCAGATGCTAGTGGAATGGTGGATGATATTGATGAAGACAACCTTGATGATGATGGAAGTAAACTGCAAGAAGATGACAACCAAGATGCTTATGATGGCCATGAAGATGATGTTCATGATGACCATGTTGATGATATCCATGCTGATGAGGATGACAGTCCTGATGATATTGAGACAGATGAGTTACCGAGGAGATCAGGACGAGTTAAAAAGAAGCCAGCATGGATGAAGAATTATGTATGTTGTCAACAGATACCACAACAGCCTGAGTGGAAAGAGAAATTGATATACTTTCAGAATATGGCATCACAGCTAACAAAAATGGACAGAGATATGTCAAAAGCATTTTTAAAAATGATTACTGAAAAGTTATAATGTTTTAATTGTATAAATTTTGTTTTAATTTCAGATTTTCCTGATTATGCCAGAGTACCAGATAAGTGGTAAGTCTCCATTTGAATGACGTGGAAGTCATTTTAAAAGGAGGGGAAGTGTGTTACAGTATTAGATTTATTAATTTATTTAATAAATCTATAATGTATTTCATATGTTTTTAAATTGTAAATATAAATGCATTATTAAATCTTTAAAGGTCACCCAAGTAGAACAGGCAGTACCTGTACTTAATTATTATTGCCTTGGGTTATGAAGGTTCTGGTCTTTGGTCTTTGGTTTGAAGTACTAGTATTCACTGTTTTCATTGGTTTGGACTTTGTAAGGTTGTGTTTTATTGGTTCAGTATTTTTCCCTCCAAAAAGTTGTTTGTTATGGTCATTCTTTGTCCAGTATTTGTCCAGAGAGGGTTGTATTTACGAAGTTTTATAATTACGACCTTCTGACATTGACAGAGACAATACTTTTCTCTCTTAAGTTTTATGATCTGGACATACGTGTACAGTGAGCCATATTGTGACTACAATGAATGGGAGAGGCTCAGTCCCATAGATTGGTATGATATTTATGATATTAATGTTTTTATATTTTTCAAAGCGTAATATTAAAAGGGGGCATTGATTGTATGTAAATCATGTACAGAGTTACCTCCCTTTATGCAGTGTATCTGTTAACCGCAGATTGTAATTACTATATTGATACGGATATATCAGAATATTTTATGCTATGTATTTATTATTTGTTATTATGATTTTTCAGGGCATTATTCCAAATTCCTTCATTGTTCCATTATTCCAACTATTCTATGTGTTCATCTGTGAATGTAATAAATGGAGATGTCAGTAGAACCCTGAAACGGACTTATTTATATTTCCATGCTCCAGATTTATAATAAGACACCGTTACATTAGTTTTCAAAGAAAGATATTTTCATCGAACTTCCTACAAAGGTAAAAAATACCTTTACCTTTCCTATGACTTTGACCTTCCAGATGACCTTGACTTTAAATTTTAGTGTTTTGCGTTTAGCACAGTGTAGAAGAAAACTTTATATTTTCATAAATCTTTACATATTAATGCAAATTGGTTCTACATGAGAAGAAGAAAACACTTTCTGTGGCCTTCATCTCGACATTTAGATATATCGACGACGTATTATCAATTAACAATAGTTACTTCCATTCATATGTCGACTCGATTTATCTCAGTGAGCTTGAAATAAAAGATACCACAGAGTCTGACACATCTGTTTCATATTTGGATATTTTACTAGAAAAAAATTAACTGGTAACCTAACAACAAAGTTTTATGATAAACGTAATGACTTCAATTTTTCAATCGTCAACTTCCCTTACTTATGTAGCAATACACCCTTATCACCTGTATATCGGGGTTTTGTCTCCCAGTTGATTCGATACGCAAGAGCATGCTCTACATATGAACAATTTCTAAAATGAGGAAAGCTACTGACAAACAAGTTGATGAAACAAAGATATCAACAGTCTCGTTTGAAGTCATCATTTCGCAAGTTTTATGGTCGATACAATGACCTTGTCAGCAAATACAACCTATCATTAAGTCAAATGCTGACTGACGTCATTTATTACGAGTAGGAGAAGATCTGCTACAATAAAGGAATAACAAATTTTACTTTGTTGTACAATTTATAAAAATTTTACTATAAATATATGATAGACAACTATTACTGACGGATAATATTGTCAATGAGCTTTTAAATATATGATAAACAATCAACCGATGACTTTATTGAAAAGGAAAAAGGAAAAAAATGTTGATGTTGTTTTCACATTCACAACAATAATACCGTTGGAGTCAAGTTGTAATTCAATAACTACTCCCAGATTTAAATTGTTTGGTAAAGTATTTTCAACGATTAATACGAGATCCCAAGTCTGTAGGTTTCGTTCAGGTTTCAACCATCTTTGTCTTTTCTGGAGAAGCGGCAAATGCTCCTAGGTCCATCTTGCCCTGAAGACATCAGCAAGATACTGTATTTGTCTCCATCTTCTCTTTACATAACTAACAGTCTTAAGAAAGGTTCCTGGAGCAACTGCTCACTGGGTCTCAAGAGAAGAAGATGATTAAGTACCTCTAGATCATTTGTACTGTTAGGGGATTCTATACAAGAGGTCTTCCAAGGAAAAAAGTTTCTACTTCTGAAATCTAATGAAAATGCCATATCTAGATGAAATGCACATGAAATCATACATAGGAAGATCACTACATATCTTCTAATAGTACACCTGCCTCGCTTTAGCTCGAAAGCGCCAAAATAGTCCACCATTTGAAAATGGTGGATGATCAGGTTGTAGTCTTTCTTTTGGCAGATTTGAAGTATTTTGCTTCAAAACAGGAGCTTGGTACTTTTGAGAAATTACTTATTTGGAAGCAATTGATTTGAACAGATTCGAGGCTCCCAAAATCAACATCTTTGTAAAAGGACGACCAAATTTGAATTCTTTCCGAAATGACCAGTAGATGTGTGTCATGTTCTAAGTCTGGATAACTTTGAGACTTTTGGGAGTATAACTGGATGCTTTGCTTCAAATGTCATATTTGACATAGTCTTCCACCACTTTTAACAGTCCAGACGGCTTGTATATCTTCGGGAGTAAGCATGGCCGTTTTTTTTGCTTGTCAAGGAATTTTTGGTAAGTGATGACGTTTTTTTTTCCTCTCTTTCTTTACTTGATCTTCAATCTTTTCATCAGATTCGCCTGCTTTTCTCATACATTCTCTGATTGTACGTGTTTTCGTAAATTGTTTTAAGCATGCAAAATCCAGGCTGTAATTTTAAAATGTCGCCATGCAGGTCTGTATGGTGTTGTCCTGGCTTTGTGTATCTGTAGCATGGTACATATCTTACGTCGAATTTTCCAGTCGGTGATCAGAGTTTTGAAATAACAAAACAACAAAGAAAAGTATGTCATATATGGTTGTGTAGATAAATTATCGTTGAAGACAATGGTAATAAACAGAGAGTGCATTTTCTCTAAAAGTGTAGATCGAATGACTGCGATTGGGGGTGGGGGTATTCCATGTAATTTGGAGTTAGATACCTTGTGAAATTATTATACTATGGGTATGGGTTTTAAAAGATATTACAGGCACAAGTGTCAGTGCCTTGGATACCAACAATTTGACCCTTTTACTTTGACCATGGAGTTTGACCTCCTATTGATCTAACTTTGGTAATAACTTTTGAACATTTGATCTAGGGCTTTCATATTTCATATGTGCATTTCTTGTTACAAGACCTTCCCTTGGGTACCAACAATTTTAACCCTTTGACCTTGGAGTCTGACCTACTTTAAGAAAACATTAACCTTGGTGATATAGTCTGATATTTTGCGAGAATATCCCGTTAATTTTGGCCTCCTAATACATGAATTACCTGTGTTTGTACTTTTTAAAATAGTAATTTAAAATTAAACTAAATTATAAATTAAAAAGGATTTAAAGATAAGATTTATTTTATGTTTACATAAACTTATTCAACAAATGAAATAAATAAGACGTATAATTACGTCAGTTAGTTTTAAAACATTCACTTACAGTAAGTTCACTGGAAGTCGGAAATCAAACAAAAAATCAGTGAAATGCATATTGAATATAGTATCATACTACTATTTTGATGTCGGCCCTGGTATCAGCCCGACCGGTTGGTTTGGCTCGAGCCCGGAGGGCGCAGGCTAGACCATCCAAGGGCTGATACCAGGGATAAGGTCAAAACAGTGGTTAGTCCGAAATATCTGACATTTTCCAGGCTTTTTTCATCATTTTCATATTTTACGTTTTCCTGACCTAATAATCAATTTTCCTGACCTAATAATAATAAAATATCAAAATCGTGAAAAAAATGCCTGGAAAACGTCAGATATTTCTGATTATCATGTCCTATGGACAAATGTCTAGTTTGTTTTTGCATGTTATCTCCATGAGTTGACTACAAAATTTTTATGAGTAGTTCATTGTATGTAGAATATCTTTACACGGTATGTCTTACCCACTTTCGAACATAAGAGCTTGTACTAAGTATCATTCATAACCTTCATCACATAAATGTGAACATTGTATCATATAAGTCTATATATAATGTATATATGCACGTGTGTTCTTTGCCTTGTAAAAAATGATTTTTTTCTGGTGAATATCAAACATAATAATCACATAATCAAGAACTCAAGGGTCAGGAATTTTTTTGGGAGAGAGAAAAGGATCAAACATATGGGACATACAATACAGCTGTCTAGCAGCATTATAAACGAACTCAAAATTCATCGTAAAAATGTTAGACTTTATAATCAAGATTACTAATATTACATCTAATAAAAGTTTAATGCTTGACTTAAATAACATTTTTTATATGTCAGAAGATTTAATTAACATTGCCTGTTTAAAAAATTGCATCGGCTGATTGATTGTTTAGAATTACAATTATTTAAGTTGCCCATGCCATCAATTTTTTTTCATTCCCTCCCAGTTGAACTTAACTTTGTGTTTGTGCAATCACAGGAGTTCGCGTACCTATCAATTTAACTGAAATTTTCAGTAAATAAAAAAAAACGTAATACCTATAGTGTTATTATTATAGGTATTACGTATTTTTTTTATTAACTGAAAATTTCGGTTAAATTGATAGGTACGCGAACTCCTGTGGTGCAATACAAATATTACAAGGGCAAAACTCTTTACTGTAAAATCTACAACTCAGTAGAAAACAAATCTTTGAAATTTGCACTGTGTTTATTACATAAACAATGAAATGAGTTGACCAAAAAAATGAGAGCACTAGTTTTTCACAAAAATAAAATATGATCAAAGTCAGACACTAGAAATCTTCATAAAACTTGGGTATCTGATCTCCTGTCAGGACAAATCTCTCCACGCCATCTTTGTTTATAGAAGCTAATCTGACCACCCCACCACTACTACCATCTCTGCTCATTGCCAAGGACAGTCCTAGAAAACAAATTCAGGTTAGATTAAACATTGGGAAAGATGATTTCCTTGTAAATAATACCTTCGGTAAAATACTCAGAACTATATTTTTTAATTTCTTGTGATAATATACAGTGAAAGACATGTTTCTTACAATACATGTATGTTCAATGTGTTATCTAATAAGTACATGTACTTAATACAAGAGGTCCATAGGCCTTATAGGCCACCAGAATAATGCAACCCTGTTAATTATCATAGGTGAATAATCAAAGGGAAATAAATTCTCTCAAAGTAGTGTAAAGATTTCCTTACATGTTCAAAAGAGCCCTGTCGTAAACCAAAACCTCCACCCAGTGGTCATGAATTTCAAAAATCTGGTAAAAACACCTTTGCTTACTACAATTATGTACTTGAATAGCCTGCTAGATGATCAGGAGCAGAGAAGATTTGAAAAAAAAATGCATTTTGGCCATTTTCACTACATGATCAATAAAGCCCCTCCCTTACACCAAAACCCCTGTCTCAGAGGCCATCAATTACACAATTTAGGTAGAGGCACCCCTGCTCATCATAACCATGCACTTACCAGTCATTTGTCTACTAAATAATTAGTAGCAGAGAAGATTTTCAAAGAATTCATGCATTTTCATTATATGGTCAATAGAGCCCCACCCTAATACCAGAACCCCTGATCCATGAATTTTGCTATGTTGAGGTAGAGTGCTCAATGCTTATAATCATGCTAACAGATTGACTGCTTAATGTCCGAAGAAGATTTTTGAAGATTGCATTCATTTTGATGGTTTTGGCCCCATTCTAAGGGGGAGGGGGACCTCAAAGTTCACAATTTTTGTCCCTCTCTACTGAAAGATGCTATATACTAAAATTGGTTGAAATTGGTTCACCGGTTCTAGAGAAGAAGCTGAAAATGTTCAAATGTTAACTGACAGATAATGACACGAGGATGGTCGATAACAGATCACAATAGGTCACCTGAGTGAACTTCTATTAAAACAAGTACTTTTTTGGTTGAACTTTTCTTTGCTTTGGATAGAATGTGAGTCAAGGGCAGTACCCAGTTACAGAAAAAAAACAGTCTAATGGTGTTGCATTGTGGGTCCAGAGGTTACTGTTGAAAAAAATTCTTTTGGATCTATATGCACAGTCCAAATTTTCTTTGCCCAGGCGTAACTTTAATACAGTGAAACTTGTTTAATCTGGATGTTGTATAATCCAAAATCTTGCCTAATATGATGTAAACTTCAAGTCCTTTTCAGTAAATTCATTTGTTGAAAATGTTGTCTAATCTGGAATGTTGTCCAATCCGACCAGTTTCTTTGGAACGAGTGATGTCCGGATTAGACAAGTTTTACTGTATGATTATCTCACAGTGCAAAGTGCCACTCACTGTGTTAGCTACTATTGAAATATCACTGTAGTCATTACTATTTACTTTAAAACTTACCATTAGCAACAAATTTGAGACATTCTTCCTTCGACATGCCAGTTTTGAAATTTGAGTCTACGTATCCATAGATGTAGGTGCTACCAGATCCCCCTGTGGTAAATGGCATGCGAGTCAACATACCACCCAATGGAATCCCAAATACCTGTTCAAAGAGATACAGATGTAAATTAGGACGGACTTAAATACAAAAAAGAAATAAAACATTTACGCTGCGTTTTCAGAAAAGTCAGAACTATTTAAGATGAATTTGATAAAGGACACAGAACAAAATATAAAATCAATTTACTGAACAATAGAATGAGTTTTGCTCATTAAAGACTAACAAAAAACAAATTCAAATGCAAAAATCTACATTCCTGAATCGAGGTGGAAATGCTTTTGACTGTGAAATACTGTATAATCCTGTTGCACACGTTTACAGAGAAGAAAAATTCATTCAACTTTGTAAGGAGCATAATATTGGTTTTGAACAAATTGAATAAGTTGAGTTATTCTATGTTCATGTAAGTGCATTCATTACTTCTGATAATTTATTATTATCAAGAATCAGGAGAGCTTAAGTCTCATGTGGGAATATTTTAACATAGAATAATTCATCTTCATAGAGTTCTTCTCTGGTTATTTGGGGGGGGGGGGGGGGGGGGGGAGGGGAGCACTAAAACTTCTTTGATGCAAGATGTTATCACAGCAAAATTGTGTGAAATTATTTGGGCTCATAATAGTTTATTTGTCAGATGCAGAAGACAAATGAAAAAAAAATCATATAAAATATACATAGCCAGACTTTAATAAGAAAGCCTCCATTCCATCTGTAGATATATCATTAAAGATACACACCTGCCCACCCTCACTCTTGTCCCATCCTGCTACAATGATCCCTGCAGATAAATTGTCTCTGTTATTGTAGCACAATTCTCTGAAAATGTTGGCTGCAGTTTTGACTTTTGGCTCTTCTCCAGTATCCATCCTGGAAAAAGCAAAATATCATCTGATAAATTTCAAATTACAGGAGCCTTGAAATCTTGGAATTTATGTAAAAATGCTAGAGTAAACTGCTCTTCAAAAAACTGTACAAAATATTGAAAATCTGTCATAATTTTGAAGGATCACATTTTTTACAAAATTAAAAATTAACAACATGTACATGTAGTATTTTTATGTTTTACAAGCAATTTTGCAGCTTTTAGAATTTCATATTCACAAGAATGTTCCAAGTACAGTGTAGCATCAGGGCTTGACATTAACTTTTTTCCCTACTTGTCCATTCGGACAAGTGACCAAAACATTTACTTGTCCAAACTTCAACTTCACTTGTCCGAAAAATTTTCAATAAAGATCTAATACTGTTAACTGAAAAACTAAAAATAAAGTCCATTACATGTGCATGATGTTATTTACAAATACAACAAACACATAAAACAAAATTTTATCTAGACTTTCTGTCCTGACAACATAAATGCTGTCAACATAAAACAGAATCCAAACTTCATCAGTTCCATGCCTTTGCAGTAGTTTGCAATTAGTGAACTTCGATCCCGATCGAGTGTACTTAATTACATAGCGATCTATATCGGGATCAAAGTTCGGTTTTTATGTACTGTTTCCGTCTTAAAGTACCGGCAAACTTTCAACAGTCGTTCTTTTAAATATTTAGAGACTTCTTTACATAAAAATGCACTTGTCCAATCGTACAAGTGCCCAGCAATATTCACTTGTCCGTATTTTTTTTTCACTGGTACCGGACAAGCGGAAAAGCGTTAATGTCGAGCCCTGACCATGCAAGAGTCTCTGTCTCCAGTGAGTTCTCCAGTGAGTCTGCATTTTTCTCAAGATATTCTCATGATATTAAGTAAGAATTGACAATACTAAGGGTCAAGCAGAGCAAAGAGGTTATAGATTGAATATCTTGGGTTTAATTGACCCTTTTTGGTACAGGGTCCTGTACCTTTTCAATTGGGAATTTTAAATTGAAAAAGTGGCAAAATTTGGAAATATTGATATATTTGATATATAACTTTTACTCTTGAATAAGTGTTATTTTAAACCCTATGCACATTTTAATGAATCATTAAAATCTCAAGATTCAATTTTTTTTTTAAATATAAAAAAAAGCACTGACAAATTCAATTTCATTGTCATTTGGGAATTTTTATCTAAATTTGGGGAAAAGGAGAGTAAATTTCAATTGGAACAGGGTCCTTTTACAGGACCTAGATGCAAGGGTTAGTAAGCCCTGATATCATATTATTGTCACACAGAATTAGCTCTGATTTGTATTGTTTTCTCTTTAACACTGTCTTACTATCATAATTCTAACAAGTTATCATTGAAACTCCCTAGAAAAAAGTTAAACCTAAAAGAAGATTTGATACATTAAATTAATAATGTAATTATGACTGAAAATGGTTAACACCTTAAATCTTGATGTGTTGTTTACATTTACCAAGCACAGTAAGTCACACTTCAAACACAATTTCTGGTATTGTAAGAGAGAATTTTTTTTAAAAAAATGGTGGCTTCTGGTAAGCAATATAAAATATTGTGAATTTTGGTGTTCCAGTGTGATCCTGAGAATGGGGTCAAAAATATATAACATTCTGTACACAGCCTGCATGTACATCACAACATGTCATGTATGAAGTATTGCTCTTGAGATACATTGTAACTATACTGAATCTGATATATTCATCAGAAAAATACTACAAATTTTTCCATCCAGAAGTTTTTAAGATTTTGATAAGTTAATCTTGTACATGTATCAAATAATTTTTTTACCTTTGAGAATCAGGGTACACAAAAAGAAGAATGTATGATGTTTAACCACTGGTAAAGTTTTCACAAGTATTTTGACAATGTAAAAAACTTACTTGTGAAAGTTAAGATGATAATTCACAATATCTGCAACAGCCTGTGTATCTGCAGCCGAGCCTGAACGACAACAGTAAATCAAGTCTGTTACCTTTGTTAGTTTGTCTGTCACTCTGTTGGCTATGTATGCACTAAAAAGATAAACTCATATGTTAATTGAGAATATATTGCAAATTTACATTAAAATCATTCCATGCACTTCAGGTTTATAATAAATTTAGTGGATGGAAGGCACATATATGTTCAAAAGAATGTTTTTATGCAAGTAAGTTATATTTACTTCCAGTAAATATAGCTCATAGCAAGCACAGTGAGTAATACAAGTGTAAATTGTGTAAAGGAACTGTGCTTGCCCCTACAGTCACACCATAAAACATTTTGTTATACCTTTAAAAATTGTTTCCTATATAATTCTATACTAAAAAAGGTTTAACATTTCCAATGTTTTACTGAACGGTCATAAAAAAAAATCGATGTTTGACCGCAGAGCAAGATATTGGACCTGTCGATGAGATGTTGGACTGCTTACGTCACAGTGTGAGCAGGGTCAGCTGTATCTTATGTGCATTCGATGGAGTTCGACAGAACTTTACCGAACTGACCAAGTTTAAACCGCAGTACGGGTAAACAAAATTTACATCATGTTATATATGTCAAAATAAAAGGTAAAAGGTATAACAAAACATTTATTGACTGTGTTCTCAGGCAAAATGCATTTTTGTCGACCCCTCGAACCAAACTGTTTGCCTTTGGCCTATTGGCCTCGGGCAAACAGTTTGGTTCTTGGGTCCAACAAAACGCATTTTGCCCGAGAACACAGTCAATAAATGTATATTATTCCTAATATTTCAGCAAAGATAATAATTTCTTTCTTTTGCAACATTGCTAAAGTGTGTAGAGAGGAAATATTATTACTGTGTTGAGAGTCTGACAATCATATTTTTTGTAACTTATGTCAGCAAGCTTATAGATTGTAAGCATATATCGTTTTATATGTATTCTTCCTGTGTGTCTGTATGAGGCATACCCCGTTGTTGTTCTCGAGTCTGCACCAATAACGACTCCATCACTGTATTCTACAGCCATTATAGTTGTCTACAATAAATTAATAAAATCTACATTAACAAAAATAAATGGTTGAAGTAGACAATAACATTACTCAGAAATTTGATCCCCTCTCTCCTGCCTCTTTAAGTTTAAAACTCACTACTAGCCTACAATAATAAATATCACGGTGTACATTAGAAATAAATAATTAAAAAGCAATATCTTACCCCCGTTTCGTGCTCGGCACGAAGCCATTCCGGTGTAGACGACAGAGTGTTCATCATGCTTCTTTACAATTGATGAATTTTATGAAATATCGCTAGTCACGGAGATAACTTTTGAACCTTCTAACTAAAGAGAGTAAAATCAACGGGAAATAACTCCTGTATTTGAACAATAATTTTCTCACCTGCTTTCCGCCCTTTCAGAGTTTAATTACTTTAACATGGCTTTACTTTATATAGTCACATATGACTAGTGATTTATATAACCCTGAAATAAACCCTCAAACCCCGGGCCAGGTTCCTCTTTTCAAAACTGTCTCCTGTCACTTTTAACATTTCCAAATTATCTGGAAATTAATTTATTTTTCTAGATTTAAAAAAAAATACAATTACAAGAAAAGCAGTACCAAATTTCAATGAAAAATAAAAAAAAAAGTTATGGTCAATTAAACTAACTCAATAATATCAATTGACCGATCTTAATATGATGTTGAATGGTTTTTATGGAATTCAGAAGTCCCCCCCCCCCCCCCGAACCAGGGATATTTAGAATCGTCGGTCATTTTCAAATGTGGAAACATGCACTATATTAAACTACATTTTCAAGGTTTGTACAAGTGCTCTTGAAATCGGAGGTATCCTTATCTTCTAGAAAAAAAAAATGAAATATGGCTCCAGGAATATTAATGCTACCAAATATTTTAGGGCAAAACCTTTATTTATCTATCAAAAAATTATTGAAGATTTCATGCAAGCACTGTTTATGCTCCTTATTCTAGTGTAATTACCTTTTATATTCAAAATTAGCACGCGCCCCTGTTCGACCGTATTTTCCATGTTTCCGAGAATTCGCCAAATTTGGTGGTTGTTGCTTTATATTTAAAATAATAAAAATTCATTCCAGTAAAGAACAAGATGTGTTTGTGAAACACTGATGCCCCCGTATGGCAACTTGTAGCGAAGGTTAAACTTTCTCAAATGCAAATCAAATATGCTGGTACCCAAAGTAAAGGTCTTGTACCGAGGAATATACCTGTGAAATGTGAAAGCCCCAGCAGCAACCATTGAAAAGATATGACCAAGGTTAAAGTTTTTCAAAAGTAGGTCAAACTCCAAGGTCAAGGTCAATGGGCTATAATTGTTGGTATCTAAAGGAAGGGCTTGTCAGAAGGATTACACATGTGAAGAATAAAAACCCTTGCACCAACTGTTCAAAAGTTATGGCTAAGGTTAAAGTTTTCCAAAAGTAAGTCAAACTCCAAAGTCAAGGTCAAAGGGTCAAAGTTGTTGGTATCCAAAGGAAGGTCTTGTCACAAGGATTACATATGTGAAGAATGAAAGCTCTAGCACCAACCGTTCAAAAGTTATGGCCGAGATTAAAGTTTTCCAAAAGTAAGTCAAACTCCAAAGTCAAGGTCAAAGGGTCAAAGTTGTTGGTATTCTAAGAAAGATCTTGTCACAAGGATTACACATGTGAAGTATGAAAGCCCTAGCACCAGCCGTTCAAAAGTTATGGCCAATGTTAAAGTTTTACAAAAGTAGGTCAAACTCCAAGGTCAAGGGGTCAAAGTTGTTGGTATTCAAAGCAATGTCTTGTCACAAGGATTACATATGCAACGTATGAAAGCCTTAGCACCAACCGTTCAAAAGTTACGGCTAATGTTAAAGTTTTTCAAAAGTAAATCAAACTCCAAGGTCAAGGTCAAAAGGTCAAATATGGTGGTACCCAAAGAAAGATCTTGTCACAAGAAATACAGATGTAAAGTATGAAAGCCCTAGTACTAATCGTTCAAAAGTTATTACCAAGGTTAAAGTTGGGAAAAATTTTGCAAAACTGGGTCAAACTCCAAGGTCAAGGTCAAAAGGTCAAATATGGTGGTACCCAAAGAAAGGTCTTGTCACAAGGAATACACATGTGAAATATGAAAGCCATAGCTCCAACCAATGACAGACAGACAGACAGACAGACGGACGGACAGGGCAAAAACTATATACCCTAAATCTTCGATACGGGGGCATAAAAAGAACAGGTTACATTTATGGGAAAACAAACTCTTCACTGGAGATAATGTAGTTCGAAAACTTGTAGTGTTGTACGTGACGTTTTGGGCAAATAAACTTGGCGCTGAACATGCTGAAGGACTTTTTGGGTTGAATTTAATACAAAATATAAATTCTTAGAAACTTAATTCTGAAAAGGAAAAATAACATTTCTTCAAATTAATGGAGTCTGTACCCTACTGACAAGAGACAGTTATCTACCCCCCCCCCCTCCCCACCTCTTCTACATTGTTGAGGCTAAAAATGGGAAGGTTGTGTTATACTGGTTTATGTATGGATCACTGATTTGTCTTTTTAACACAAGATACATCCTCGCAATGTCAGGGGTCCTGAGTCAACACGTTGCCGTGGACCCCCTGGCCAATTTCATTCAATAGTTCATGTGCTGACTTTAGCGACGTCTTTCGGAAAAATTAAAATTCTTGATTGTTTTTCTTATCTTTCAAGCAATCACATTAAGCCATTCTATGATAAAACAACTTGTAACACGTGCATTTGTGGCGTCAACTGAATCCTTTCTGTTTACATTAACAATCTAATTAAAATCAGACTTCTTAGATCCGCACTGTATACACTCTGCGCAGAGTGTATACGGCGCGGATCTAAGAAGTCTGATTTTAATTAGATTGTTTACATTAACTAACTATTTATGAAAGTTTTAATTTGATTGGTGCTTCTCAATGAGAAATATCGAATGAAATTGGCCAGGGATCCCAAGGCAACGTGTTGACTCAGGGCCCCTGACATTGCGAGGATGCACATAATGCGGATGGGACATATACTTTTTTCATTCTGTCTGGTAAGGGATGAAAACTTTTTTTCTATTCATTTATTTATTCATTTTTTTGCCACCCTGGTGACACCTATTAAAATAAGATCTCACTGATTTTGAAGGTCAATATTGATGATTATGAACGACAGGAACTATAAGAAACTATCCAGCTTTTCTTTTTTTAAGAAAATATACATGTATGTATTTACACATCTATTTAAAAACATATGCATGAACTAGTATTTTCGTACAATTAACCAAAGATCATCCGCACAATGTCAAGGGTCCTGTCAACTCGTTGTCGTGGGACCCCTGATAAATTTTCTTCGGTTTTATTCGGACGTGCTTCTCTCATTGAGAGCACTGGTCAATCAAATTGAAGTAGACAGATAATGTAAACAGAAAGGAATCAGTTGACACCTAAAATGCACATGGTACGCATTGTTTATCACCGAAAGGCTTAATGTGGTTAGTTGAGAATCAAGACTAATTTTCTCGAAAGACATTAAGAGCCATTCTCTGTAATGACTTTAACTTTTATATAGGAGCTGTGGCACTCATAGTCTCAGAATTTCTATAGACTCTCTATGATAAAAGTCTTTGATACTGTAAACTCAAATCAGGCAAAAATTGGGTGCTACGTGTCATGGTTACCATAGCAACATGTCCTAAAGTTTGAAAAATGGCATTTTTCAACATGTTCAGAGTCCCACAGTTAACGTTTGCAGCAAAGCAAACAAGTGGCAATGACTTTCTGAAAGTTGAGGGCCTGATGTCTTAAATGCATGATAAACATGTTTGGTAAATCAACTATTATGTACGTTACTATGGAAACAATGTATTCAAAAGTAATAATTTTTTCATCTATTTTTATAAAGTCATACACTTAAGAATAATAACAATTATAAGTTGAAATGCAAGCAAACAATAGACAAGAGATCCTTGTAACATATACCAAGGACGAAATATGATATTTCTTATAGGTTGGCAATGGTTGCCATGATTTTAATACCACAAGGGGATTTTAAATTTACTCTCTTAGTGTTTTAATCTTATCCTATCTTTTTAAAAAGCATATTTCTATATAACTGATGATCAATTTTTAAAGGCGTTGGTGTGACCCTAATTTTCACATTTCAAAAAATTCAAATTCAATTCTTTAAATAGAGCGTTGCTGTGGAAATTAGCCGAAAAAATATGCATAAAAATCTGAAAAAAATATTCTGTTTCCTTGGATACGTACCCTTGTATGTAGATTCCCAAAACTTTTATGATTGATACATATGAACAACTGACCTGACTTTCAATTTTGACTACCACCCAATCTCTAACTGGATGCAAAAAGCTGGCACATAGGATTTAATATTGATATAAAATTAACAAAATCGAACATTTTCCCTTCTTGGTAACCATAGCAACAGTGTTGTATTTTTCAACAAACTTTATCAATATATGATATTCAACTTGAGTTCTACCAGATAAGTACTATTCAAGGTGAGTCAAATAATATGTTTCTTGATTAAAAGGTAAGTAAATTCCTAAAGCAGCAAAGAAATATCACTTTAAACAGCAGGTACGTTGTTTACATGGTTACACTGCAAAGTAACAATTAATCCCAATTTTTCTTATGCTGTCGGTGTTGCAAGGTCCTAAGGATGTTTATGTGCCAGTCATGAATTTTATTGTTTTTCCTCAATATAGTAGCATTTGCCCAATCTTAGCAACAGATTTTGCATGGTTACACTGTATTACCATGGCAACCATGAAAGTTATTTTTAGAATAATATTGCCAATACCTTATTACTTAAGGTCAAATATTTTTATTGTTTTTCTTTGGTTGTTGATTGAGTTTGATCATATAACATCTATCATTAGTGAATATTGAGCGTTTTTCAGCATTTTTCAGCATCTGAAATGTATTTCGAATGTACCCATGGTTACCACTTACTTCGAGATAAATTCTAAGTAGTTTCTTTATAGCATAAGTGGCAACAAGGTATCATGTTTTTGTGAGAATGGTTTGTTTGTTTCTTTTAGTCTTTATTAAGGCTTAATAAAGATTCAAAGAAGCTGAAAATCTCAATTTTTTCAACTTTCCTGGCTGTTACCATGGCAACCAAGACACATAGCAACGAAATTTTATTTGATATATGTTTCTGGTGTCAATTTGTAATAATGGGCAAAGTTTCATCAAAATCGGTGACCATGCGTGGCAAAGAAGTTTAAGTGGTCACAGAGAATTGGTATTAATTGCTGCAGTCAGCCCGTAAAATATCGAAAGAAATTTGTCAGGGATATCATGGGAACGAGTTAACACAGGACCTTGACGTTGTGAGAATGACCAAAGATATAAATAACATGAATTTTCGACTGTTTTTTTTTTTTTTTTTTTTTTTTTTTGGTCATATGTTGAAATTGTCCAATGGTACGTGCGGTGTTCCAGATTTCTTTTCATGCTTCATGACTGATATTCCATATGTGTTTTTTTTTTAACTTAAACTGTCCATGCCTAGGACGACGCATGAGACCGTTCAAAAAAGACGCCACTTATGACAATCACTGGCAATAACCTGCACCCCAGTTCTTCTCTTTCTCTCTCAAATGTGCGCCTCCACGTGTTCTTTGGTCTTCCTCGCTTTCTTTTTACTTCCGGGGCCCCATGTTAAAGCAGTTCTCATGTTCGAGCTGGTGTCTTTTGGGGGATTATGACCTATCCATTTCCATCGTCTCACTTTGATTGTTGTGGATAGTGGGATGGCTCTTGTTCTTTCATGTAGTTGTGGATTTGAGATCTCATCTGGTCAGTTTATGTTCAGGATTCTCCGGAGGCATTTACGATGGAATGTGTCCAACCCTTCATCATCTTTCTCGGTGGTTCCCCAGAGATCGGAACAGTACAGCAATATAGAAATGACATTTGAAGATTCTCAGTTAGGTTCTTGTGCTGTACTTTGCCGACTTCTCCATACTTGCAATTGGTTCTTGGATTAAAAAGCATTTCTGGCTCAGCCCAACCTTCTCCTTATCCTCCTGTCTTGTCTATTGAAGCACTCATGCCAGGTAAATGAAAGTTTCAATGTCATACTAGTTTTTTATTTTAAGCAGTAACCAATCAATCTCTTGGAATACGATAGGTGGTGTCCTTTCGATGTGCAATAAGGTTTTAGAATTTTCAATTTTACCCGGGGTGCCAAACTGGGTTAAAAAAAATGGCAAAAACATGGTTCCCAGAGCCTCTCTTATATTTTAAGAGTAGCCTGATCATTTTTGAAAGAAGATTGCTGGTGTCTTCTAGATGTGCAATGAGGTTTCGCAATTGTCAGTCATTTTCACCCTGGAGGTCAAATGGGGGGGGGGGGTGATGTTTTCTAAAAAAAATTCCTAGTTCCTTGAACTCTTCTTACAATTAATATACACAGTAGCCAAATCATTTTTTGGACAACGATTGTTGGTGTCCTGTAGATGTTCAATAAGGTTTCAGAATTTCATTTTCAACCTGGGGATCAAATGGGGTCAAATATGACGTTTTCTACAAAAACCCATTTCCCAGAACTCCTCTTACATTTTATGCAGTAGCCAAATCATCTTTAGGAAGATAACTCATGTTGTCCTGTTGATGTACAATAAGGTTCGGAATTTTCATTTTCACCCTAGTACAATGTAATGAAATGGGGGTTGAAAAATGAATGACGTTTTTTCCCTACAAAACCAACTTGGTTCCCAGAGCCCCTCTCACATTTGATGCAGTAATCAATTCATCTTTTGGAAGATGATTGCTCGCCTGTATAAGTCCCAAAAGGTTTTGGAATTTTCATTTTCACCGATATTTCATTTTGGGGGATAAAAAACCCCGACTTTTTTCATTTAACAAAACCTGTTTTCCAGAGCTCCTCACAAATTTTATGCAGTAGCCATTTGATCTTTTGCAAGATGATTGGAGGTGTTCTGCAGATATGTGCAATAAGGTTTCTGAATTCTCATCTTCACCCTGGGGCCAAATGAGGGTCGAAAAATGATGTTTTCAAATTCCATTTTGGACCGATTCTTTTCGGCAAGGAGAAAGACCCCTCTTCGTTCCCTAACTCATAAGGGGCTCAAAGATGCACCTTGGGTTAGCTGTTTAGTTGTATGACAAAATTAAGGTAAAAGAATATACCGTATTTTGGCTCTTTTCATTTTAAAGTCCTATAATTACAACTTTCTTGTTTTTATTATTTATATATTTGTTATACCGACTTCTTACATGTATCTCGTGTTAAAACCACTCATTTTTACTATTCTTACTATAGGTTTTCGTAGTAGATGGAAACACACAGATAATGAAACGACTCATAAAAAAGAAAAGATTGGAAAATTACATTGTATATAAAAAGAATTTTAATGCACAACAGATACAAAGAATTCAAAGAAAAATAAAAGCAAACAGCATCTTATAAGAAAATAGAAGGTATACATTAATGAAAGAAAATAAGAACATGAAAACGTTAAATTTACAGTATTTTGAACAGTCAATACATTGTAAGTATTCCAAACATAGCAAACATGCTGATCTTAACTTTGTGCATGTTCACAAGTACCATTTAATGTGACAAAAGCGTGTAATATTTAGCCGGGAAAAAGTTCTCTTTGACTAGTAACCTTACTGCGAAGGTATCGACAGAGGGTTTAGATTCCCAATCTACTGCTGTCCATAAGTCTTCATATACCCTGACTTGTCTGTCTTTGTATAGGCTGTCCTGTCCTGTTTCCGTCTGTCGAATATAGACGCAGGGCGGGCACCTGTAAAGACGCAAACATGTTTTACGTCCTATAATAATCTTTTCTTAATTGACACACACACGGAAGGCTAGGATTATCTAGGAATCTGTAAGTTTAAAGGGGTCACTTACCTTGTTCCGGGTGGGGTGGGGGGTTCTCTAGGATTTTGTAAGTTTTAGGATTATTTACATATTGCTTGTACCGGGGAAGGTTTTAAGGACTTTGTAAGTTTTAGGGGTCACTTACATGTACCTGTTGCTTGTTCCTGGGGGGGGGGTTCTCTAGGACTTTGTAAATTTTACGGGGGGGGGGGTCTCTACGAATTTATGTTTTAGTGGCCATTTACCTGTTGCTTCTGCCTGGGGGAGCTCTTTCTCAAGGACTTTGTATGTTTTAGGGGTCACGTCCTGGAAAGTTTCTTTTTCATCCTCGGGTTCTGGCTGGGGAGTTGGTTTTACAGCAACCCCTCCTCTAGAACCAAGATCTTACTGTTAGTGTCACAACAAAGATCTCAACATTAATGTTTCAATAAAGATCTGGGTATTTCGACAATGTTCTGAGTTTAGCCTGGAGTTTAAACAAAGATCTTAACACGATATTTGCGTTAAAATGCAAGAGTTTGCTTATTGGAGGCTTATTCATTCATTACATATTCTGTAATTTGAAAAAATCAAAAGGAGGTGGAGTGTATACTCTTAAATGTATATTGAGAAAAAAGAAGAAAATGTGTGGGATTTTTTTGAATGCAATTAAACACTCGTGCACGGAATTAAACACACATTAAACTGTGACGCTACCGGTATGCAGCCTGCATTTTTAAGATCAATAATCAATTAAGACATTATCAGGACCATACCTCTGAACGACCAAGTCCACGTCATTTCCGGCGCGGATCATCTCGTTTCTGGCCTGTTGGTGCGTGGCGTTCTGCATGTCGGTTTCGCCAATCCTCAGAATCAAGTCCCCGTTCTGTAATCCGCTTTTCCCTGAGATGCTCTTGGGCTGAACCTGAAAATTTAAAAATAGATTTGCAAAATATTTCTTTGATAAGGAGTTTTTTTTTAAGTCAGTTATCTCGAATTTTAATAAGAGGTTCAGGAAGGGGTTATAGTTAATTTGCTCGATCTTTTAAAAGGAAAACTGATGTTGAAATAGTTGTTTTGCGCATAAAAATGTCACTTTTATTCATTACATTGAATCTAAACCAAAAATTAGCGAGGATGATGGTGAATTCCAAGCGGTTATAGGCTTATTTCCTGTGATTTCTCAAGAAAAGAGATAAGAGGAAACACGTGGCGGTTGGAATTACTCAGTACGTGTAGAAATCAAGACTTTTGAGCAGCTATGCTTAACTGTAAACAGGTAAATATTCTTACTTTCTATTGAACACTCTAAATTAATTAATTAAAACTTTGAATTAAACGAAAGGTTTTTAATCAACAAACAAGGGACTTTTAATATCCATGTAGTTACACTACAAAATTTACTCACTTCAAAGGGACTGTGCAATGTCAATTAATTCTGAATTCTTTCGTAAATTAAAACCGAATCCGTTATGTACTTTTCTCTTTCTGTTCTTTTGAAAATAATCCTCTCTTTGAAAAATAAAATAAAACCATTTCTAATTGATATATGTAACAGTATTAACACTATACCGGTGAATACTTGTATACAAATATATAATGTGGTATCACTGTTAGAGTGTAACACGCATTAATATGTACACTGTGTACGTGCATTTTACTGGAACAAAATGTCTAAAGAATAATTTTTTTTATACAGATTGTAAGTCTGATATAATTACCAAATTGCATGTTATAAAGAATGAAAGCAACTGAACATTTCCCATGCTTGAATTGTTCGGACATTTTCATGTGAGTCTCTATAAGAATGTAAAAATTGTCAGCTTTGATTAAGAAATCTAAAAAAAATACTGAAACTTTTCCGGGATTATACACACGTAGCTGGACCTATTTATGATATTTCTGTCATGTGTTTTTTATTTAATCTACGTTTCTGAAGTATGAGATGAAGATGATATTTAATAAGAAATGCCTAACATTCATCACCCGCTTTCCAGTTGATAAAGATTTTTCGAAGAGCAGCTGATGATCACAAAGTATATTGGACATGATGTGCAATGGGGTTGATCGCGTGATATTGAGTATACTCATACACGTACTGGAAAAATTCAAACATTCGAAGGTACGGACACACCCGAATATACACTAGTTTCAGTTTAAATACCAGTATACTTTGAATTATTAATTATTCGGGAAAAACTGGTAAAGTTAAATTAAAATTGTTGTAGTGAAATTATGCAGTATGCTAGCTGATTAAAAATAAATATAAGTAAATAATCATATTAAAGGAAACACAATGCACCAAATTAAAAGATGATACCAATGTACCTGAATCCAACACATATCTGCACAATACAGGAAAAATATTTGCTTTTCCTCTCGACTCTAAAATGGAACGAAAGATAACTCTCGATGAAACTGAGAATCGAGACAAAAATGGCCTGAAATATGATACGGAGCTTGTTCTGTTTGAAAGACGTACTGAAGTATTTAAACAGTTACCCTTCATAAACCTTTGTATCAAGTGTAGTACAAATGGAAAAATTGATCAAAAGAAAATTTGCTGTAGATATTTCGTCCTTACACATATATATTTTCTATGTATAAGCAACAACTCTACTTGCAAAAATACATACACATGTATAAAGGCTAGGTAAACGATTATCATTCAAGATCAAAATACAATTGTAACTCGGAATTTTGCTTGAGTCATGGCATGTTAAGCATACACGAACTTGTTTAAATATTTTGTCATTCACAGGTGTCTCAGGCTTACCTGAGCGACATGGATAGGACATCCTACATCGGACCCTCCCTGAAGTTTGAAACCCCACGGCTGGCTCGTATCAAACCTCCGTAGAGCTATAGGAACAATCTGACCACCAGACATTTTGTTTACGATTTCTTGGCAACTCTTAACCAACTTTCTCCAGTGAACGTTACTTGTGCCTACGGAAAGTTTCTATGGTAACTTAAGTTGTTGTTAAAGAAAATTAGTGTCTGTCTCAGCGATGTGAATACCTTACTCCCCGCCGGCAACACATGTCTGATTCAGAAGGAGGAGGATTAACTAATGCGATTTATGTTTACAAATTACAGACCGTGCTGTTGCAATTATTGGAAATAAATGAAGCATGAAAATATGCAGGTCATTCACGCACATCGCCATAAAGCAATTTGTTTTATTTCATCAAAAAGTATAAGTATGTAAGGTGGAAGGATCCTCTGTCGAAAAAGATTGAAAAAGATTGATTGCTAAATACATGTAACTGTAACAAAGTCATTAAATATTTCAAATATGCCCCCCCCCCCCGGCCTTCGCATATAATGTTGGATTTGCTTAAATTTCAATTTTAACTCCATTTTAACAGAAATTCAAAAAAAAAAAAAAAAAAAAAAAATCCATTTTAATAGTCATATTAAGGACCCTCTATACACTAGACGAAAATATTTTTTGGACATTGAGAAAATTATAGTGTGTAAAGGTGTAAGTATTGAGCATATCTATCACATTTTCAGCATAGGGTGCCTTGCATTTACCCCCAGGAAAAATTTTCAAAGACAATGAAGTATTGATGAGCATAAATCACTGCTGTTTACTTAAGTGGGCAAAATAACTGCAAATTAAGTGTTCTATCTATTCATCTTGGCCTATTAAAGTGTTATAAATGCTTGATTTGATCACAAATTAAGTATTAAACTGTACATTTCAATTTATTTTATTCTTGATCAAAGGGCAGATCACTCTATCTGCATAAAAATACCACAAAATCAGAACTCTCTAGTGTGCAGTGTATAGAGGGCTCTTAAGGTCGTTCTCAATTATATAGATGTAAAACATTTAATTGGTATCAATTTTGCTTTTGGCATGCAATGATGCATAATTTATTTTTATATAGTCAAGATTTTATACACGTTTACTCAGTAAGAAATATAATCAAATTTATTCAGACCCACGTCGTTTTTATTTGTATTTACATGAGACATACATGTATGCATACATGTATGTGGGTGGATCCTAGGGTCTCGCGTGATTTCTGATCTTATATAATATTACTAGTAAACAACAAATTGTATAAAAATCGCCAAAAAGCTCTGGGATAGAAAAAAAAAAATAACACACAAGTTAGATAACAACCATATCCAATCAGCAATCTTTTTCACATGTTTTCACTTTAATTAGTTAAATGGTTTTCAACCCCCTTTCCCCTTCCTGTTGCCTGCCTTAATTTCCGCAGTATAAAACCCACAATATTGATATGCCTCTAAAACGTTACTGTTTATTTCACGACGTTTTGAACTAAATCAACTGGATCGCTTCTCTGTCTGATCTCCATTTTTACAAATACAGAAGTAGGATTTTTTTTTTACTTTAGATATACATGTAATAATTAAGTTGTTCGAATAAAAACAAACAAACCAGAAAAAAAACCCCGCAATGGATGATATCCACGAGATAAAGAAATAAACACGTACATGTGAAGCATATTCACAACTTAACAGGGTTTTTTTTTCACCATGTATGTTTCATAAATCTCTTTTTTAATGAATTCGCTAATACTTTGCAATTTTATAATTAAAATATTCAACTATGTGCATTTGCTACATTGGAAATGGGGAATTGTGTTGCAATATTGTCACAACGAAGATTTCAGATTGAATTCGTTTTTGTTTCTGAAATATAAATTAAGTCCAATCGCATCTTTTGCAATGATGCATAATTTATTTTTGTAGTCAAGATTTTATTTGCACACATGTACTCAATAAGAAAAATAATCAAATTTATTCAGACCCTACGTCGTTTTTTTTATTCGTATTTAAGAGACAAAATTATGTAGGTGGATCCTAGGGTTTCATGTGTGATATCTGATTGAATATGATATTACTAGTATACAACAAGTTGCGTAAAAAGCACACAATCCGGTGTAAAGACCGAGGGTCATTTTTCGACGTATAGAAATGCCTACCGGTCATTATTCGACATAGAAAAATGACCCCCAGTCATTATTCGACATCGAAAAATTACCCTTTTGCTTGTAGAAAGTAGTATCACCCATAAAATCTGCATACCCCTACGTAAAGAAAAACGACCCCAGTAGAATAATGATCCCTTATAGATTTTATTGGGGATATACTTTCTTTTTGGTTTAAAAGATGAAGAATTAAAGTTTAAATACAAAATATGACAAAGCACAATTATAACATAGTAATGTAACGATGTCAAAAAATTGACAAGCATCCGAATCAAGTTTCTGCAGCCAGAAAGAATTCACTCTTTTAAAATTTCCTATTCTCTTTTATTTATTTAATTTCTCTTGCTCTGTTTTTAAATATTTTTCTTATCTTTCTGATACGTGTGGAGAAGTAAACAATGGAGGGGAATCAGTGAAAAATGCAGTGTAGAAAAACACTTCTAGAAAAGAACAGATCAGAGAAAGCAAAATAACTGTTATGTCAAATATGCCCCTGGTTATATTAAGTTTTGATACTTATACTTAATATACCATCAGTAAGTTTTCAATGACCCATGTAGTTAAAAGCTCAGGCAATGTTAAGATATCGGTGTTTGTTCGTCTGTTCGTTTGTGTTTCTGTCAACTTTTAAAATAAAATACTACTCCTTCATCGGTTTTGGTCATATTTAAATAAAACTTGTCATACAACTAGCAACATCAATTCTGTATATTAGTTTTGGAATAAAATTCGACGGACATTGTTGGCATGCATGGTTACTAATTTAGAATAAAAAGAAATCTATGAAATTCTTTTAAAACTTTCGTACAGTTTTGGTCCAATTTTAATGAAACTTTATATTTACAAAGTAAGTTACATTATCCTTTTTATTGTTTTTATTTTTTATTTTTCATTTTTTTTATTTCAAATTTTTATGTTGCAATATCCTTGATTAATGAAGCTTAGAAAGTCTTAACACGCCCTCGTGCTTTCGATCACATTCCGCTTTCGTGCAGATTCCTCCATGGTTAAATTTTCAAATGTGGAGAACCCTGCGTAAGGATTAACTCCTTACGCCGCGACTCTAGAGCAAAGTTATCGCTCTAACCACTGCGCCACGCGGGCGACGAGAGAGAGAGAGAGAGAGAGAGAGAGAGAGAATTGTTGATAATGTCTATCTTCCATTTTATTAAGTTGTGTCCAAGTGTCTGTTTTTTAGATTATGATTTAAACGGTGCATACATGTAATTTTCCGACATATAGCAAAAGTGTTTTACAATATGAATAAGAAGAATTACGTGATGTTTTAGAGAATTTCGTACATTTTCATGAAAACCGAAAGAACAAGCAGTAATTAACTATCAAGTGAATATGGAAAAAAGTTGAGATGCAAGCAATTTTAAACTAAAGTGCAGAGGAATGGAGTCCATTCAAAAAAAGTATCAACATCTCGTAACCAACGTTGACCCATGTGCTTTATACCTGTACAATGTTTGATTTTCTGGATGCCCTCCTTTATCAGAGAAAATATTAATTCCTTTCTAAAGAAGAAATATCAGATCCGTTCGAACAATATGTAATTCGCTAAATTATACGAATATCCAGTTCGTCCGAACAATTCCTTAATTTGTCCGAAGAAAGAAGTTATTTATCCAAACAAATATTTTGTTCGTCCGAACTATAAACTAACTTGTCAGAATTACTAGTATTACATATATCTTCGTCAGAACAAATATCTAATTTGTCCGAACCATTGTAATTCTTTTTAGGCTTCAACGGCATAATACTATTGCATGTTATTATACCTCATTATTATTATTCTATACAACACTTAATCTGATTGGTTCTAGATTATCACGTGACAGGGCCATAAAACTTCATATTTCCCTGTCGTTGTCATGCTTTTCATCATATTCAACCTCTTCGGAAACCTGGTGCATTTTCCCGCAATAGTTATCGTTCGTTGAACGAAAACTCCCAAGAGTAAGTAAGACGTCACAATAGTCTGATTCACGTCACAAATTCTGTAATTTTTTTCTGTAACACTACGTTAAAATTGAAAGTGAATTTAAGAGCAGGGCCGAATTTGAAAATTTATGTTTATTTTTAAAGTTTTTGCTTGTTTCGGTATAATAAACAATTTATTGCATGGATGTTCGGGAAACATGAAGATTTATTCCGCCAAGAAATATCATATTCCCCTTGGGCGAAGCCCTCGGGGAATTTGATTTTTCTTGGCGGAATAAATCTTCATATTTCCCGAACATCCATGCAATAAATGTATAACATTCCATATTTAGAAAAAAAATTGCCTTCATTTTTTGTGTGTTAAATTATCAAGATTCTAGAATTACAAATTAATGTATTTACTATTAAGGTCATTACAATGACCCATGAATGCTTATTTTGATTGAGGCGTTGAAAGCCCTAGCTATAACATTAACTTATTTGTCAGTATCTTGCCTCTGTTTTAATGTTGATTGTATTCAGACCATGCTCTCACGTACTGGATAAGTTGGGAGACATAACACCATATGCAGATGATAGAGGAATAATTGATTTTATGAACAATATAAAATAATTTATGACAACAAGATTATATATAGGATTTTTTTTATTGTATTTTTATCATATTTGTTTATTCAACTTAAGCATCTAGAGTTCACGCGTACTTAATTACCGGAAATAAAACATGACTCAGTGCGAGTAAATTTTAGCTGTCAGCCGCAGTATATAAGTATATGTTTAGCCTTAATTTTGACATTTTATGACATTTTAAAAAACCCATCGAACGAAAACGATATAAAGGGCCTTTGAAAGGTCAGTGATAGTTACCTTCGTGGTCATATATGAAGCTTGGACATTGATGCTGTGAAATCCTTTTCTATTCACGAAGGAATCTTCGTCATGTGAAGGGGCCTGGGTCCGTACATGAGTCCCATCAATTCACCCGATTACATTTGGAAAACCTGCCAACCTGTGGAAGCCTGTTTTCATGGAAGACCTAGCTCTTGCGTCGGGCCATTTTATAAACGTGTCAGCTCTAGCAATCAATGCTTCTGTGACTCTCTTAACGGTGCGAGATACTGTGCTTTTGTCAAACCCTGTTCAAATTTGAGTTATTTGTATACATGCATATTTTTTTCCATTATGAAAAAACTACCGGTATTTAATTTTTAATTTAATAATATCAATCAAGAAAGTTTTTAGCAACAATCTATTTTAAAAATCTACACGTTTTGAAAAATTGATTAAGACCAACCTTGCAACATAGCGTGTAACCTGCAAAGAGAGAGTTTGCAGCACGGTTAGGTAACTCTCCCCGAAACAAGAAGAGACAACTGCGCCAAAAAATTGCACTTCCAAGATAAAACATCTTATTCACATACATGCGAGATATATGCCATAATGTTGTTTTTATTGTTAAGTTTATTTTTTAGGTTACCCAAGTAATGAAACATCAGTACAACAATCTAGTAACAGTTGGAGAAGACCTTTATGCAGATGTCGATTTGAAGTCGACATTCGGTGTGTTTCAAATTAACCTGACTCTTACGTCACTGCAGTCAGGCGGACAAGGAGGAGCAGGTCTAAGCTTGAATAGCATATCAATTATTGGAACTGGGAATAGATTTATATGTTCCTCCGTACACCATGTCTTCTATAGCAGAACAAATGACTCTACAGTACAAAATATCGCAGAAGTTGTCGTTAATGTAACTAACTTTGGGGAAGAAGGAACAACTAATTGGTTAAGATTGAGGTTCTCTGCAGTCCCAGTCCCCGGGTACACAAAGATTGGCGATAACCACACTATAGAAATCAACAGGAGTTCCCCCAGCGCTTTTTATCAATTTACTGTCAACGGTGAAACTTCATTTGATGTAATAAAATTTCAATAGATATTTTAGAATTTTTTAAAGATGTATTTTCTTGGTTTGATAATTTTAATGACTATTACAAAATTTTAGCAGCGAATTTCTATTAGTTAAAATCAGTTTGAATCAATCAAAATTCATTATGTTTACTTTTAGAAAGATTTAGTGTACACAATCGAGATCTATCACTTAGAGACAGCTGCATGCATTCTACAGAACCAGACCTTTGAATTTTTAGTCATAATCACTACAGTAAGGAACAAAACTCCCGGTCCGGTGTTCATTAACTTTCCTGTGGATGACACCATATTCTCCGTACAAGATTACAGAATTATACATGTTGGAGATAATCTTTCGTATCGTCTAAATACTATGCATCTGGATGGATCACTTGATCGATTCAAGTAAGACTACCTATGTATTGAAGCAAAAACTGGTAAATTTTACGTCATTTAATATAATTTGACTAATTCTATTGTTCGTGTCATTAGTCATTTTTAGTGCTTATATATATATATATATATATATATATATATATATATATATATATATATATATATATATATATATATATATATATAAATTTATTGTAGAGTTTACTCTGACGGAACACTGGATAATGTAAGCATTGAATTTCCCCTATTGAGTAACAAACAGGTTACCATTGATAATGAGGGAGATGCACTGACAATAAGGGTGGTAGCCAGTGTCCGCCAGGATATACAACTGACTGGACCCTCTGTTGAAGATTTTACTGTGATGGTCAGATCTCCTGGTCTGCTAATGGACGCCGTGTCATCACTCCATCTTACCATAAACAAAGCGGTAAGTGGAATGAATACATTTGATTTTTGTCTCAGTTTTTAAAAAAAAAAAACTCTTCTGATATTCTTGGAATTACTTTCAGACTTATTTACCGATGCTGCCAATTGTTTATGGTATTGAAGTACTTAAAACAAACTTGAACATGACTCGGTTCCCTATGGAGTGTCATGTAGAATACACAAAAGGGGACACTGTTTCTTACGCAACCAAGGTATGTGTCATCTTTTTAGGTCCCCCGAGTTACTCAGGTGATCTATTGCTATCCGTGTTAGTCTGTCGTCGTGCGTTAACATTTGAACATTTTCAGCTTCTTCTCTGAACCCGCTGAACCAATTTCAGGTAATTTTGGCATATAGCATCTTTGGGTGAAGGGGAACAAAAATACGAATTTCATGGTCCTTGCACCCTCCCGGGGGGGGGGGGGCTTGAGGAGTGGGGCTAAAACCACCAAAATTAATGCAATCTCTAAAAAAAAAATTCTTCACTTACAGAGGTGGAGTGCAAATAAATTAACAGCATTCTTTTTGTAAACTGCTACTTTGAAAGTGTTACAATGTATATATGGTCAAGGAATATTTTCAGAAAAATGGATATACAGTTATATCGTGTTAAAGTACATGAATATATTTTACAAATGAGTAAAGGGATATCCCAATTAATTGAATTACGTGCATAATCTAATTATTTACTAAATATTAACCAGTTAGAACGTGACAGTGAGAATACAACTCATGTAGTTTACAAGTTTGGAAGCAGACAACGTGGTCTAAATTTCAGATTTGCAGAAACTATCCCTGGAAATACAACTTGCTGTGTAATGCATCGATTTCTAACTCTTGATCGTAAGTGGTACATTATAATAAAATTGATAATAGTTTTAAAAATCTTTCATAGCGCTAATGAATTTTTTTGGAAAAGTAAAAGAAAAAGTACAATGGCTACGTTTGATTTTATATTTGATTTTATTTTTCAGTTGAAGAAAGTCTTCACTTTTTTAATAATAACAACTCACTATTATCTGAAATAACAGTAGTGTTTGACAATGATAATGAGACGTGCATGCGACTTCCGGTTTCTGGACAATATCCACCAGTTTTATGGATGCGTATAAATTTTACAAAGTTATGGGAATTAAAATCATCACGTTTCAGAATTAGCATTTTAGGGGGAAAAATAATATGTGATAAACATGGTGACCACTCCGTGTTAAAGGAAGCACATTTTAAGTCACTTTTAATTGGAACATAATAGATATCTCTTATATAAGGACTAGAATTAATATGTCAAGAAGTATGAAAAATATGCTCCCCGGCCTAGACTTCCCATACTTCATATTTATAGCAACGTACTAATTTTTGTTCTTTATTATTCACGCATGCTATTGTTATGTATTAAATTAACCATATGTTGTACGTCTCTATATACTATTGTAAAATGGTGAAGAGATCAAATAAATGATTGATTGGTTGACAAATGATAATGATAATAGCTAGTAACTTAAAGTTAACAATGGTCATTTATACAAAGAATTATACAGAAGCAATCTTTTGTTATAGATAAGTTTGATATTTTAAAATTTCTTATGTAATATTGGTCCTACTTTTTAAGGTCTACTATCCATGTCATTTGCAGCAAGAGGTTTCCATGGCGAAGTTTCGTATTGTGTTCTTGTCAACAAGGTATCTGGTCTGCTTTCAGAGTGCACCTATCAGTGTCCTTGTGAAGGACCCCACTGTTCGGAAGTTGATGTATTGTTTGCCAGTAACAATGCATCATACAACTGGACACTTTGCGAATTATCTGTAGAGAACTATTAAATAGCTGAAACCACATGACTATTGCTAGCTTAATAGTTCTACCACAGAGTGAATATCTATGAACAATTTTAACATTTTCAACGTTTTGAGCTCAAAATGTTGTACAAATAGTGTCATTATGTGTATTCATCTGGTGATTTTTGAAACATCCAGGAATTTTTACGATTGTCAGGCGCATTTGCAAAATTTATCCGAATCCTCATAACATGCTAATTTATTAATTGATTCCTCATTTGCAGATTTACGTCCCTTGATTGATTCCTTATTAGCAGTTTTACGTCCCTTGTAAGATTGGTTCAGTCGCATGAGACTTCACCATCACGGCGCGACGAACGAGAATCAAACCCGGGCCCTCCCGATCACGAAGCGAACACCCTACCACTAGGCTACTTTGACTGGTTCTTCCGTATGAAAAAAGAAATAAAACAAAACAAATCTTGAGTTAGGTAATTGTAAGTCGTTGCTAGCCATCAACATTTGATACCGTATTTTATGTATGTATGTTCTTAGCATGCTTTATGTAAAAAAAAAACAAAACAAACAAACAACCGAGGTTTTCAATACCTAACCTTTAATAGAACTGAATACTAGTTCAATATTTATAGAAAAAATAATTAGATTTAATATACATACATACATATATATATATATATATATATATATATATATATATATATATATATATATATATATATATATATATATAGTAACGATCCTCTAATAAAACTAATGTCCAAATAACTGTATCTCACTTCCATTCTCAATGACCGTGTAGTGTAGAGCAGCGCCGCCAGAATTCCATCGGCATCGAAAGCACGTTTTTTGACTTGCCTAGATAGCCGAGCGGTCTAGTGCGCTGTTCCTGTACTGCTAGGAGATATTTCCGTAGGTCGAGAGTTCAACCCCGGGCTGGGGCGGAAGTGGGTATCCTTATAAAAGCGAATTTCTTTGTGCTTTCTATATTAATATTTCTTCACTTAGGGCAGTTATGTTAGTTAAGAGTTGTTGTAAAATTGCTTTATATATATATATATATATATATATATATATATATATATATATATGTCGACTCGATATCCATATGAACTTGAACTTGAAATAAAAGTCACCACGGAGTCTGCAACTTCTGTTTCATATTTGGATGTTATACTGACTATAGACGATTAGGACCAACTAACAATTAAACTGTATATTAAACGTGATGTTTTCAGCTTTTCCATCGACAGCTGTCCTTAATTATGTAGTAATCTTCCACTATTACCTACATATTGTGTTTAGGTCTCCCAGCGTATTTGATACTCAAAGCATGCTCCAAGTACGATCATTTTTTAAACCGAGGCAAGCTACTGGCAGATAATTTGATGTTACATGGATTTCAACAATTTCGTTCAAAGTCAGCATTGCATAAATTCTATGGTCGTTATAATGACCTACATGTAGTTAGCAAATTTGACCTATTTTGGGTCGTATTTTGACTGACATATTTCATACCAATTGTTAGGCCTTTGTTTTTAGACTAAATTCGACAACGGGATGTTCCGTCTATCTGATCAATATATAGGGCTCACGAAAGGTGTGATCGGTCAACAGGGGATCTTCATCCTCCTAGGCACCTAATCCCTCTTAAGGAATTTCCGGGGTCTGTGTTTTATGCCCTGTTCACAGATTTCTATCGTTTGTAGATTTTTTTTTAGATCGATCACTGTTGCCTTAATTCCTGTGTTGATTCGATATCCCATTGAACTCGATATAACAGACATCACGAAGTCTGACACGTCTATGTCATATTTAATAGGATGTTTTACTAGAGAAAGACATTGATGGCAAACTGACAACTTTGCTTTATGATAAATTGAATGACTTCAACTTTTCTATCGTTAACTTTATTTATTTAGCAATGTAGTACATGCCGTGGCATTATCACTTGCATATGGAGTTTATGTTTCGCATTTGATTCAATACGCAGTAGCATGGTCTAAACACAAACAATTTGTTTTTAGTACCTTGCATCATATTGACAAATAAGTTGATAAAACAAGGATATCAAAAATCTCCTTGAAAGTGAACATTTTGAAGGGTCGATACAATGACCTTGTTTGCAAATATAATATGTCATTGTTTAATGTTGACTGACGTCTTTCATGCAAATTATTTTTCTATTATTTTTACACTGAATTGTTTATCGATTTTTCCGTTTATTCTGTCAAGACAAGGAGAACACGGCGGGTGTGATCGGTGGACAGGGGATGCTTACTTCTCCATGTCACCTGATCCAACCTCTGTTTTCAGGTCCATATTGGCTCTGCTCAAAATTTTATTATTTATTAATTTTGTTAATGGATTTTTAGGGATTTTGCTCGTATATGTAAGTAAAGGTTTTTGCTCTTGACAACTACGACATTTGTAAGAAGGAGAATAATCAACGTTCACTGTATATCCTGTGCAAAACAGAATGTCTTAAGATCAAGTCAAAACGGGTGTTAAGTTTTGGGTTATGCATTATCTTGGTGAAAGGATATTTGATTACCCATCCTAACATCAGATTATATTGCTACAACCTGTAAAACCATGTCTGTGTTTCCTTTTGGATATTTTCAAACATCTACGGATTGCTTTTGTTACTCTTATACAAAAGATAAATACAATCGATCAAGAACCCGGAGAGATAGATTGGTTGGGCCTTGAAAAAGTCGAAGAAGCGAATATTTTTGGCCTCTTAGTTATTTCTCTACACTGTAGACATTGTAATACTTACCTATTTAAACAATAAAATGTGTACTCTGTTTGTTGCAGAAAAAATAACATGCATTAGCAACCGTTTATCCCTGGATAAATAAATACTTTTTATTGTTTAAATAAAAAATATATCAATTATTCATATAAAGTGGATGAACACACGCAAGCATTGATTCAAATAAACAACGGTCGGTTTTCATAAGAAATGATAAGCTAGAAAATATTGAGTGGACGTAAATATATTACAGTAACAGCAATCATTAATTGTTTAAAAAATCCACTGGGAATCACAGGAATGGTTTTGTACGTTGTTTAACGAGAATAATTCGGTTGATATTGAAGAATGTCAACCTTCTCAATGAAAGTATTATTATTTTCCTTTTTTTAGAAATGAAAGTGAGAGATGCTGCTGATAATGTCTTGTTCGATTTATGACAATTCAATCTTGTACTGGTATTTCAAGTTAAATATATAAGGATTTTAAAAAAATGTGAGTGTTATTGGTGTGTAAATCAAACAGACTTGACTAGTTGACATATTTCATGAAGCGTGCTAGCGCTTCTTATAAAATATACCTGCAAGTCTGTGTGATTGACACACCAATAACATTCACAAACTGAAAAAAAAAACATTCCTTAAATCTATATTTACAATGTTTAAAACCAACAAAAATTTACCATCTCGTTAGCTTCATTGTGAAGTCACTTTTGCACGTGACTATACAGAAATTGGTATTTAATTCAATTTCATAGTTGGTTTTGTTAAAAAAAAAAAAAATCAGCAAATATAAATATTTTATATTTATGAAAATCAAAATTTTATATAGATATTAAAAAGTGTGTTGAAGAAGTTCGTTCCTGAGCTTTTGAGCAGATTTTTGTCTTGACCTCTATTTAAAACATTCTGGATAATATTTTAGTTCTTACAATAAATTTGAATTCTACAATGCTAATTATACGATATTTAATTAAAACCCCATGATTGAATTCCATACTGAAAGCATTAAGTGAGGAACTATATTTTGTGGCGGAAGGTTTGTTTTTTTTTTTAGAAGAAAATGATCAATTTTTCTCTTTCGAAGTATTTACAGTATTGTTAAGTTTGGATTCCTATTTTTACATGCAGCCTGCACACAGAGTTATTTTGTGCAGTGTAATGTTTTATGCTGGTCCTAAATTATATATTAAATTAACTTTCTTGAATTCTGTCATCATATTTGGAAAAATATAGCAAATATATCGTGAAAGTCCTGGAAAATAATAGCCTAATTAAACCTTAAAATTAACACAATATTAGTAATATCTAAAAAAAAAAAATAACATCACAGACCCCCACTTTTAATTTTCTTTTCTGAATGTATAAGACATTTTTAACGATTCTGCTTAAATTCAGAAAAATGTCATTACTTTCAAATGATTTTATTGCTTGTTAAATTTTTAATGCCAGAAAGATGACATTTTTTGAGTACAGAAAGGTCAAATAATTGACTTTTTGTAATTTGAAACTTTTTTTGTTCTCACAAATTTTATTGTGACTATTTCAAGATGAAAAAACACTGTGTTTGTTCCCATAATTTATTTGGATAAAAAATATTAGGGGAAAAATCTTTGAAAAATTGATTTATGTGTTAGACTTAATTACAGTGCAAAAAGGTCATATTAAATGCTCCGTAGCGCCAAAAGAAGCGCATTGACCCCCATTTTTGGTTTCGATTTTTAATTAAGCTATGTGTGTTGATTCTAAAAATATACTCGATAAAAAATTCTCAAAACTTTTGATAACAGGAACCAACCCCCTTAAGTCTGAAATGTCAAACGTGTTTATATGAGATATAGAAATTTACTGTCCAAAGGTGAATGATCTTATAAATATACGAATCAAATTAGAAGAATGTTAAATCTCCCTCATGCATAGCTCTGATCCTCCGACGTATTTGGCTCCAGTTTTTGGCACCATTTTTTCAGCTCTTCCAAGTCTTTTTATTGAAATATTTTGGATTTCCAAAGTTTTGGCTTGAGCATCACTGAAGATCGAGACATAGTTTGTCGAAATGCGCATCTGGTGCTACAAAATTGGTACCGTATATGATTTACATTCAAACAGCCCGGATCCAATATAGTTTTCTTCACTTTCTCCATTTAATGTCTGTCTCATGTTTGTTTTCACAGGCATAAGCTGAATAAATTGACTATTAAAGACATTTTTTTTATTCTGCAGAGACAATTAGAAGGACTATTATTTGGAAATGCTCATGTTGATATTGG